ATAAAGCTGGCCAGAATTATGAAAATTGCACTGCGCAGCCTCAAAAAATGCCTGCGCAGTGTCCCATCTCTAGGTATGTTTCTGTTGAAGTTATTTATCTATACTAACACGAACTTTTAATATGTCTTTAAAACAAAATTTTGTGATTTGTGCATCTGAGCCAAATGGTTTAATTATTCATAGAAATTTGATAACAATAAGAGTTTTGGGATTTCCGATTAAGGATGGCACCGAAACTACTTTGGGCGTGCCGAAATACTTTCTGTAAATTCGACTTGCCGAAAGAACAAAACCGAAAGTACAAAACCGAAAGTCGAAAGTCTTACCGAAAGTCCTACCGAAAGTTTCGGTAGGACTTTCGACTTTCGGTAAGACTTTCGGCTTTCTGACATTTCGGTAAACTAAATCTTATCCGAAAGTACTTTCAGTATACTTTCAGTTTCAGTAGGTACCGAAAGTACCTACTTTCGAAGCCATCCTTATTTCCGATTCCTTCATTAAATTTTCATTTTTTTAAAGATAATGGTTAAGTACTTTATTGAAAGAAAATTCAGGATTATTTTGAACAAAAATATAAAGAAAATCCCAAACTCAATATTTGTTTGAATTGTGATGAGGCTTTAATGATTCTATCAAACAAAGATTGAGAATTCTTCTCGGGTGTATTACTTAATATGCATAAATGAGTCCATTAATGTTTCACCAATAGCTATAACCTGTCCTCAAACAAATAAATGATCCTGATAATATTATAATTCAGTCGAAATTTAAGTGCAACTAATTCCATGTGTCGTTCAGTAATAGCCTTAACGTCTGGCCGAACTCATTCAATTGGAGGATTTGGTGGGAAAAGAATGAGAAGGGCACCCTGAATTACGAGGTCGTTTACATCATCACAGATTTCGTAATAACCAATTTCTTTCCACATTAAACACAAATTTTTGCAGATTAAGATTGTACGAGCAATAATATTTAACTGCTTATTATTTTCATAACCATCTTTAGACGGATATTCTTTAAGAGTGCAAGTATTTGTGGATTTTCAAGGTCTAGGAGGAAACGGAATAAATTTTTTACAAAGTATTAAGTCTTCAATTGCACCTATATTCTTTTGCAAATTGGCCGGGCGTCTTTAAACACGTGTAGGCCAGCGGTGAGAAAGTGAAAAAAATTCTATATCATGCCTTTTATGCAAGGTTTACTTGTTACAAATTGATTTTGCGCCATCGTTAGAAAATAAGCAAAGACTGACAATTGTAAGTCGCTAGCCCAAGGCGCACGTATTTTTTGTTGCAACGACTTTGTTCGATTGGGGTCAATTTGTCCAACATTATGAGTAATCTTTAATCTAATTAATGTTGGATCATAACTTCCATAATGCAAAAGAAGTCTTTGAATAAAATATCTTGAAAGAACTGCGCCTTTAGTAATCAAAGCTTGGGCAGTAGGCAAATCAATAAAAAAGGGACCTAATTTCACAGTATAAAAAAGAGCGTGTGCCTTTCCGTGGTTACTAGTAATCCACACGGCTTTAGTTAATACTGCAATGCAAGTGTTACACAGTTTGATTAATATATGATTGAAATCACCGCCAGGTATAGTTATAAATAAAGCTTAAATTTAATTTATGCGTAAATCTAAACACACCCCATTTTGAGGGTCTAATAATTCTTTTTTTGGCAAGTTTTGTATAAAATCCAAACAAATACGTAGTACAATTATTTTCTTTTACATAAAATGGGATATACCGAAGTGTAGCACGTGCATACTGTGAGCCCGATTTTTTGTGAATCACGAGGGCCCGAATCGAGCGACGATCCCTACCCGATTCGAAGTCACGTGAAAGTAACAGAAATGTTACTTCTGTTACTTTTCTTACTTTCGTTACTTCTGTTACTTATGCTATTTCTTTTACTTATAAGATAAAT